GTCTCACAGGGTAGTATACTGAGTCCTCTACTTTTCGTCATTTTTATTAATGACCTACTATTACACGACTTGAATTGTTATTTCACAAGTTATACAGACGATACTACCGTATCAGTCACCAGTTCAACTTTAAACGAAATGATGGATGAAGCTAGTAATACGTTGAATGCTCTAAAAAGTGGTTTGATACTAATAATCTAATAATGAACGAAGATAAAAGTGGGGTGATAGCCTTTGATAATAAATTGGTTAATAAACCATCTACAATCTATGATATTGAGGTACGACATCACAGTGGTCCGAGCGGTAAGAAAACCCGATCGAAAATATTATTTTGGTGTTAGCAATTAGCTAGCTTTATGAAACTTGGCATGATTATAAGACCAAAAGGATAATGTTGTGTCAAAATTTGAATTAAATTCTTCAACCGGAAGTAGTACTACGGAAGCAGTACTTTATTTAAATTCATACTCATTTTTTTTCATATAAATTAGGACTTTAAAGAAGAATATTACTATAAAATTTTGTGCAAAACATTAGACGTATATTACTTCACATTTTTTTGTGTAATTACGTGATCGCAAATTCCTATCTAAATTGTTTTATAGAGGACCTATACCGGATGTCTCACGTAACTGGTTCGTTAGAACTTTTTTAGGTACCACTATTCGTAGCGGTTTGAAATTTTGACAACATGGATTGTTCATTCGAAGCTTTCGATCTAAAATACTTTCAAGATGGCCGCCACTTCCGGTCTACCGGATGTAGACCACAACTTCGTTATTTTAAATGGAATGCTATAGTTTTTAATGCACCTTTTAATTATATTCGACAAAATAAGTTGACTTTGATAAAAGTTATTGGTACCTACCATTTTTCGTTTTCGAGTTATTTTGTTTTTAAGTTTTTCTTTGGCAAATTACTTTATGCTCTTTAAAACCTTATATCTCAGCCAACGTTCATTCAAAAAAGCTCTAAATTGGCACGATTACTCTTGAGATGTTGTCAAACAGATTGTCATTTGTTGTATTAAAGTATCTTATACAGGGTGGTCAAAAATTGAATTATCGTTTCTCCATATTCAATGGTAAGAAAGTCGAAAATTTTAAATGGAACGCCCCATATTTTTTTACCCTATCAGAAATGGAATTTGATAAAAATGTGGCAAAATTAATTGGCAGAATTAGTTGGTTAGATAGCTCAATTTTACTTAGCTTTTACTAAAAATCTTTTAAGAACTATTCGAGAATAAACTCATCGCTCTTAATTTGAAGTGATATTGGAGACCATAATACGTAAGATTGATGCCTACTTATAGTAGAATTTTCCCATGATACTGAAATAGTCCACATACATTTCAAATTATTCGAGATAATATAAAATATTTTGTTATATTCACCAACATAACAAAATTTTTCTCAATTTGTGTGAGTCTTCTTCATTTTCTAGGTCTTGTTCCTCTATATTTACTTCTTCTTCACTTTCTTCATCATCATCATCTTCTTCTTTACCTTCCTCTTCTTCTAGAGATTTGTCCAGTATAAGTAAATTTTTCATGTCTTCATTCATATTTTTATATCTTTCTGAACATTCTTTATAAAAGTTACTAATAAATGGATCGGAGCTCAGTAATAGTCTTTTAAATAAATCTTCATTTGTTTGAAGTCTACCACATTTTCTTGTGTGACACTCTCTAAATCTGCGTACTTGTTTGTTTTTTGCTTCTTGAGCCTCTTCAGAAAGCTCTCCAATGGGTAATAGCGACTCTTTAATTACTACAGCACCATGAATTAAAATTTTGTGCACGCTAGTAGGCATGTAGTACCACCCATAAAGGTTAACATACTTCTCTGCGGTACTAAAGCAATATGCTTCAAACTCATTTTCTTTTATGTTATACCCACTATTTATAATACGCAGAATAACTCCAAATCGCTGGATTAATTCCGCATCAATTCCTTCAATTAAATTCCATTAATTAATTTCTATACAGTTACACTATAATCTAGCAACTTACCTGTAATATCTGCCGATAATTCCGGATTAGCAAAAAATCGTCGCGCAGTATTTCCATCATTCGATGTTCCATAGTTTTGAAATTTTTCTTGTATAGATCTTTTTCGATCCTCCACTTTATTTCTTTGTGCTTTGGGAATCTGAACATAAAACATCTTTAGGCATATGTTACACATAAAGCTATGTATGATAAACTGTTTACCTTCCAAGTTTTAATTTCTAGCCTGTAGGCTATGTGAAGCAAACACTCAAAAAATCGAATGTAAGCGTGCAGAACTGACAGACCAAATTTAAAACCTTCTGGGTCTAACGTTCTTGCACGCAAATCATTAAGATTATTCATCTCTGAGATTTTTGCTTTACATATATAACATTTCATGCCAGATGACTCCATTAAGGAATTACAAACCTACAAAATAAACAAACAACTCAAATAAAGTTCTAAGAAAACAAAGTAGTTTAGAACCTTTCCATCAACTATCGTCAAATAAAGAGAAAAGTTTACAATTCCACAATTGAAATTGTATGGTTGAACTTTCTCTATTTGGTCCGAAATATACTTCTCTTCGCTTTTTATAATTTTATTATTTTCATGAACCCATTGCAGCCTAATTGGCCTACAAAACCGTATGGATGATGGTCGCGGATTCTTCCACACTATTTTCTTATTATTGTCTTCTAGTCGTAATGGAACTAGTGACGATAGAAATAGAGAGTCATCTTTTCCCTCAGAATTATTTTGATACTTTTGTTTGTAAGTAGCATGACTTCCGCTACCATCAAACCCCCATTTACAATGTAACGTTAAATTACATTTTATTTCTGAACGCACGTTTGAACATTTCAATATTTTTTCACATGTGTTGTTCAACAAACTTTGCAAATCAATTTCGTAAACTGTTTCAGTAATTTTTATCCCTTCTGGGTATGCCTCTTTTTTGCATTTTAAAACGTCACAGTATGGGGGGTATAAGTCATATCCATGTCCAATAGCGGTCTCTCGAAGCTTTAAATATTGATTCTTAGTTAAATTAAGAGATATTATTAAGTTAAGAGCTTCCTCGGCAGTCAATCGAGTTTGCTCTGGTTTTTCCGATTTCCACATTGTTAACATTTTTTTTGCTCTGTTTGGAGTTGTTGTCGTTGCCTCCTTAAGCAAAGCAGCTTCAGCCGATTTCCCTTCTTCACGCAGTTTCATCGTTGTGGCAAATGATAGTTCTGCCGAAGTTACGGTCTTGCGCATTTGTTCTGTCCTTCTTCGTTTTACAATAACTGACGAAGATTCAAATTCTTTTTTGGTACGACCACGAAAACCTATTTTATGTTACAGCGAATATAGAATCATAGATCATACATTGTTTAAATATATCATTGGTACTTACCAGAAGCACATTCAGCGGATGGTCGGTTTACAGTTCGAACACTTGGAGAAAAACTATTTTTTTTTTCAACCACTCGCTGTGTTTAGCGCGAAATTTTGTGTCGCTACGACCACAACTTTTCCAAAACCGATAATATGTACTAAAAAGCTGTTTTTCTACACACCGATGCAGGTTTTCGGTATCCATGTTGTTAGTGGTTAAATAATAATTGTCTATCAATTTTAAAACAGTTTTTTTTTTCAATCATCGGCTGATTCCCACAAGATTTTATTCTGTCGTGAAGCGCTTCGCGTGTTATGCTCGACATGTTGCAAGTATTTAGCGAAATCTAACGTAAACTAACGCTAACTAAAGCTAATAAAAACAAACAAAAATCAACAAGCAACAATAACTAACAGTAACTAACAATAACTAACGATAACTAACAATAACTAACAATAACTAACGATAACTAACAAAAACTAACGATAACTAACGATAACTAACAATAACTGACAATAACTAACAATAATAATCACCAACAATCCCTGCTTAGTACAAAACACTCGATTTACTTAAACCACAGATTTGATAATTAGGTTTGTTATTACTGAATGAAGACGTTACCCGTAGCAACCGGTGGACTCATGGAAGATTTGATTTTAAACGTTTTTATAAATTTAATTTTTTAATTGAAATAATAAAGGAAACTCAGTCAAATAAAATCAGGTAACAAAATAATTAAAATGTAATTATTATTTTTATTTTTCTAAATTTTATTACATTAATGAAGAATTTAATTCAAATTTGAACATTTTTCTTAATCGTAGCAGTAAAATTAGAAGTAGAACTACTAAATAGAGTAAACTACTAAATAAATTTTTACACTTAAAATAAAAAAACACTTACGGTACTTGCGGTATAACCGGAAGAGTGGTGAAAGTGCATTTCAAATGTGTTTAGAAAATGCGAATAATATAATATAAAAACCAAAACATAGCAACAAAATAACGAAAATCATAACAAGGATAAATAAGATCCACAATTATGTGGTAAGTAATCTTTGACTGCCAATTTTTTGGTTAAGGCGCACGTTGGCGCAAGACACAATATTTTCAAGTAGTGATATACCATCTTGTTTTGTTTTCTAAAGTTGTGTCGTTTTCTAAAAAATTTCCTTATACAAAATAAGGTAATTGTAATAGCAATTTATTTCGCGCAGTAGCTATTATAAAACACCAAAGACTTCATAAACTTCACTAAGAGTCTATTAATAGTTAAAATATATGTAACATTTAAAAAAACAACACTATAAAATTTTTTTTTTAATTGATTTTCGATCGGGTTTTGAGTGTTTTCGGACCACTGTGAAAGCTATCAAAATCTATATTTGGTCTTAGAGTGATTAAAAATACAACTAACAAAAAGATTGCCAAGATTTTTTATTCTAGTAACATCGAATCACATTTAAGTTATTGAATAATTACGTGGGGAGCATCTGTACAGTTCGGTAATGTCTGTAAACTTCAGAAAAAAGCGATAAGAGCCTGCCTAAACATAGGTTAAATTTATATGAAAAAGGTCCCTTGTATTCATGTGTGAAAATCTGAAATAACATGTTACGGTTGGAGTTGATTTTGATTTTTTTTGAGGGTTTTTAAATGATATTCAAAGCGCAATGGTTTATATTCGTTTATTTTATTGCTCGATGCAAAATTGAAAAATTGTATTTTATTTTTGTTTGAAAACATGTGGCGTGACGTCGAACTCGGAAAACCAGTTTGCGCGTGGACGATTGGTGCATTTTTCTGAAAAGAAGAGTTGAACGAAAGGTTTTGGGAAAGACGTTCGTTTAGAGTAAAAAGTTCTTACTTACCTTAGAAAAAGGGAATTTATTGAGCGATTATTCTATCCCAGTGTAGTGTGGTGTGTTTTTGAGTATTTTTGGTAAACATCATCACCATTCGCTTATGCGGAAGTTATAACCTTTCGAAAAGAATCTGTGGAAACCGACCAACAACTAAGGTTTGTACACCATCTTGGCGTGAATTATCGATTTATCTGGAAACAAAAATTAATTTAAATATATTTAACTCTATCTAGGTTTCAACTTATACTAGTTTTCAAGATAGTACTACTTTCGAATTTATAAAACTACTGTTATACTAATGTTCGAGTACTCACCGTACTTAATTAATCAGGAGCAGATTAATTGGAGATCTTCATAAGTGTTTACGTCATCGCTAGCGTGGTAACCTGGTGAACCATTTTAAATTACGAATCAACTTACCTGTGTCGAGTAAACTAAGATTTTTTATTTCGGTATTATCGTGATTGTACTTACCTTATTTGTTTATTGAATTCAACATCTGAGTTGAATAGCTTAATGATTTTTTTTTCTTTCTTCGAAGTATATCATTTATTTGATTTGGAGTATTAATTGATTTTTTTTTAGTAAATATTTTTTTGTTTTGTTTTCTTTATTTTGTTCGAGATATTATTTAATTTTTTTATGCATTTTCTTAATGTTGTTGTGAGGGGAAACATAAGCTTATGCGGACCAGAGTTATTTATTTTTGTTATTGATTTTAAAAGGTATTTTGCATTGCTTTGGAGTTTAAAATTTCTCTCAAAAATTTCTGGCGCTCAACATTTAATAAATTTAATTCGTATTATATTTTTTTTTACATCACTGTTTTATTTACTCACACCCGTCTTCACTGAATTAGCCGTAAGCACCCGCAATAGGGTTACATATATTTTTTTTGTGTCAAACATCCCTGTAGAAATCAAATAAATAACTAGGTTAAACTTATTTAAGACAAATATGCGATATTTACTTTGAATTTACCAACCTATTCGCTCGACGAATTTTATAATAACCATTGAATGTCGCTTTCTTTTTTGACGCTAGGTGAGTAGTAATGAGATGTACATTTTTTGTTATTTTTGTCTCTTTACTTTCTCAATAAAGTTTATTATTATTATTAATGCTAGCCTAACAACCACATTTTTTGCAATTGTTGCTTAGAGTTTGCATGTAGTTTTATTATTGCTTGCTGTAGCTGTGCATAGCCAAATACTGTTACGATGTTAATGTTGATTGGTTTAACGTTTAAACAATTATTGCAATTTTTAGTCCTACAATAACTAAATTCTTCTCAATCCTAGGATGCATAAACCGGCGAGATTTTAGTTACTCATAATTTTCTTAAAATAATTTCAATCGGCTTGAGCATTTAGATATGCTCTAAACACCTCTTTATTCAATACACACTTGATTCAAAAACATTCCAGTGTAATTAGCAATCGAAAAAAAAATCGTTTCCATTAGCACCCCACACTGCTGCGCGGAATTGTACGTGCCTATGTAAATTAAAACGTGCATTATTGTTGGATGTATAAAAGTAGGGGCAGCTGTTTTTCATTCAGTTGGAATAGAAGTTGGATTGAGTGAACTTGTGAGATACATATGATAATGGCGTCAAAAAGGAATGTGAAAAGCGTGAGATTTGGTGACCCCGGTTATGAAGAAATATTGGTGCAGTGGGCAGCTGAATGTGATGATCTGACTTCTGAAGAAAGTGATGTGTCAGAAGCCGAGTATTCTGGATCCAGTTCTGATCATAGCGATGATAATTCAGAGGATGATGTTGATCATATTGGTAAGCCTTTAACGAGCGGTTACATTGCTCCAAGTGGTCTGATATGGAGTTTGGAACCTCCAGCAAAAAATAAAATTCAACCACACAGCATTATTCGGCGTGCGCCAGGACTAGCAAGGAAACATATGGCTGCAACACCAAAAGAAGCGTTTCAGTTATTTGTAACTCCAGTTATTGTACAAGAAATTGTGAACTGTACTAATTTAGAGGGCAAACGTGTTTATGGAGCAAAAGGAAAACCATGGCAAGATGTAACTGTTGATGAATTTCTTGCATTCTGTGGTTTACTTATTCATGCGAGGGTTGACAGAAGCTGGGATGTTCCTGCGAGAGAATTATTTTGTGATGAATTTGCCAATCCTGTATACCGAGCCACAATGTCCATATTTCGCTTTGAAGAAATTGAAGATTCGTCAGATTTGACGACAAGAGAACCCGGAATGCGCGTTTGGAAACCGATAAGTTAGCAATGGTGTCCTACATTTGGGATTTATTCATTCAGCAATGCAAAACCTGCGTCATACCTGATACTAATGTAACTATTGATGAACAACTCGTTGGGTTTAGAGGTAGATGCACATTCGTTCAATATATGCCAAGTAAACCGGCAAAATATGGACTTAAAATATTTTGGATGTGTGAATCTACGTCTGGGTATGCTTTGGATGGTTTAGTTTATGTTGGTCGCCAGATCGGTGAACCTCCACATAAAAACCTGGGGCTTGAAGTAGTACAAACTCTTGTGCGTGGCATTCATAATTCTGGTCGCAATCTCACGATAGATAATTTCTTCACTAGTGTTCCGCTAGCAACTTATCTGTTGAATAAAAATACTACTGCTGTGGCTACACTACGTCAGAATAAGCGTGACATTCCGAAAGAAATGAAAGCTTCAAAAGATCGTGTAGTCTACTCTTCATTGTTTTGTTTTCAAAATAACATATCCATGGTATTAAGCACGTAAAAAGAACAAATGCGTAATTTTACTAAGCACCATGCACCACGACGCATCTATCAATGACGACGCTAAGAGGAAGCCTGAAATCAGCTTTCATTATAATAAAACAAAGGGCGGTGTTGACATCATGGATCAAATGGTGTCGACATACATGTGCAAGAGGCAAAGTAAACGATGGTCCATGACATTTTTCTTCAACATCATTGATGTTGCAGCACTCAATGCATATATAGCCTTTACGAGGGAACATCCAAACTACAACATAGGAGTGACTCACAAACGCAGAATGTTTTTGAAAGATTTAGTGAAGGAACTAGTGATACCACATATGCAGAGAAGATCTACGAACCCTACCCTACGGCGTACTGTCCGGGAGTGTATGAGCAGATTTATTGATATATGTAGTCCGCCAGCCGCTCAAATAAGTGCAATAATTAAGAGAAAATGATGCTCAGTATGTCCCGCAAGTATTGATCGTAAAAGCACAATGATATGTATTACTTGTAAAAATAATATCTGTAATGAGCATAGTATTAGAATGTGCACTAAATGCTTCTCTAATCCCTAAAAACAATAAACAATAATGTTTTTTTAACAATAATGTTCACTTTCATATTTAACCTCACGTTTGTAACGTACATATGTATAAATAAATAAAATTTTACTTCAATAATTTTGTTTCTGTTCTGACTACACGTGATTTTATATAACGGGTCTCAGAAGCCCGGATTATGTAAATCCTAGGGTTAAAATAGTTGTGTGCAAGAAACGCAATATTTGAAGTAGCATTCATTATTATTACGTCAGCAATATTCTCGCTTACAAAATACTTTATTCCTGTTAATAGTTCAGCACTTTTTTTATTTATTGCTTTACTAGAATCGCTTTTTAAAAATAATTTTAGGAAACTAAGGCAATCTGTGCAGCAATTCTCAACATCATCTCTAAAATATGTATTGTGTGTACTAGCAAATGTTAAAATATGAAATATACTGTCGAATCCGCAAGTATTTTGAAGACTTTTTATTTTTTATTGAAACAGATGTTAATGAAACTTACTTTTATCAACTTATGAAACAATTACTGACTGAAACTTCCAAAAACTTTAATTTGCTGCAGTGTCATAGAGTTGTTCTACTGAAAATAACAGCTCTTCCAGGTTGCTTTAGGTATAATAAGTATGTATTTGTAATATGGAATTGAAAATAGAAAAACTATGGTCACAGCAATCAATGAGACATTTTAGTAGCTAAACCTATTTTTAGTTATAACTTCGTAATATTGTATCCCATAATTTTGATTTTCTAGACCAATAACTAGAACAACCCAGAACAACAAAAAAATCTGATTTTTCCAAAAGTGGGGGTAGTCAAAAAAACCGTTTTTTCGGTTTTTCTCGCCGAGTTTTTATTTTTTCTATTTTACCGCTTTGGAACAATGTAGAACAACTCTAGAACAACAATGAAAAATTTAAAAATCAAAAAATGGGGGGCTAACTTCCCGCACTCGAATAAATTTTATTCTGATTCATTTATAATTATTTTAAGGCAGCTTTCGTATTAATGTACATATACGATAAACTTTTGCTTAAACCTTAATAATTTTTTAAACCTCTCGAACTTAAAAAGAAGATAGATATAACTTTGTTGAAAACAATATCTTTGAAATAAAAGAAAGGGGAAACTACTTGAAGTTACTTAATAAGGGATGGTCAGTGGATGATCGTCACGGATAACTGAAAGAAGTGAAATAGCTTAAAAAGTGAGAACCCCCGTTACTATGTAAAAATATTAATGTCATTAATGATTTGTAATTTAATCTATTATGCCCATTATTCAATTCTAGTACTAAGTGAGTTTTATACGGATGACATTTTTCTATTATCAATGCTTTGTTTGGATTACTGGGTTCAAAAGTGAACGCGAACGAGTACTGACGTATGGTAAACTAGCTTTGTGATGTTTTAATAAATCAACACGTATATTTTCATAATGCGCAAATGCTACGACATAAATAAATTATCACAAATAAAACATTTAATAATAAATAATTATAACATTAATTGTAATATTAAAATAAAATCAAAAAAACAAATGTGAAATATTAATGTGGCATTCTCTGAAAATGGAGTGCAACCAATAATGTTATATTTCTATATCAAATAATGAAGAGACACTTTACAATGCTTGGGTTCAAGCTGAAAGTAGAGTTAAAAATATGGAATGTAATTATTTGTAATTATAAGCCTATTTTGCAGACTTATCAAAAAAGTATTCAATTCGATGATTTATAGAAGAATCCATGCAGAAAAAAGTGAGGAAATACAATATCAAACTGATTAAGAACTAGCGAAAGAGACGAAGTGGATAAGAGTCTGTATCGGAAGAAATGAATAGTTCGTACCAAAAAAAGGTTATAAAGTAAAAAAAAAAAGAAAAATGTGTTAAAATTTCCTAATTTTGATGGCCTGTATCTTTGAAATTTGAAGACTTTTACTAATTTTTTTAAATGAATCGTCATCATTTTCACTCTAGTATATGTGGTAAAATTTGTTCCCCGATTCACCGAAACACTGTAAAATAAACACCGCATTTGTCAAGAGTGTCTATCTTCTCCATATGA